GAGTCAGTATGAGTCTTTTCTTCTCTGCCCATTTTACTCCCCTTTGATGGAGCAACCAATCACCTTCACATGAAGAAGGAAGTCCACACACAACACACGGATAGCTCTGTACTTTGATGTCACAGCCAATAAAAAATAACCATTCTGAATTAGCAAAAACACCCACATGAAAGAAACAGATAAGAACAGAGAAAGTAGGAATTGATCGGATCCTTTCTCCCAACTCCAACCATTTTTAGAGATCACTGTAACAGGATATCAAATGTGACTCATCCTTCTGTCTCAGCATTTCAGTTTTGGCCGAGGTCCCAGAGGCTAAGGACAATAGTAGGTGTCATGTGCCCCCATTACAAAGTTATGCAGTAGACTGCACATGCAGGGGACACAGTAATTCTGCAGCATGAGCTGGTCATCACTTCCATGACTTTAAGAAGCAGCAAGAGAGATCTCTGGAGGTATTAAGCAAGGCTATAGCAGTGCCCACCCACCTCCACAGGAGAAGGGCCTACAACGCCACCTGTCCCTTCACCCCAAGTTGAGTAGGGGAAATTTCAAAGAGCACAGAGAATTTATGTATGAGTGTGTGCACCATGCTAGGGCCTTGCTCATATGCTATGCAAGGCTACACCTCAGCAGACCCTGAGAATTGGAGTCTCACTGGCACCAATGAGATTGGCATCTTACTCCCACCTGCTTCAGGCAAGTGAGGAGGCTGTGGGTGATGCTCCCCATCTGGTGGCAGAGCTTTGGGAGAGAACTTTCCTGCCACAGAGCCAAGGAAAGGGAAATGGCTTTTTCAGGGACAATCTGATCCAAGAACCCCATCCAAGAGGACCCGAAATATATTAATTACTACAGCTTCACCTTAAATCTTTGTATCAGTAAACATCCTCCTGGGTGGTTGTTTAGAAATGTTTGTTGTTCAGAAATGGTGGCTGTTTAGAAAGGAGTTGTGCTCAGCCCCTTAATCTTCCATAAAAATTTTAGAACTACTTTGTGATCATCCAAAGGATCAAATTTTTTGAGGATCAGTTTGGGGAATGTCAATCCCTTTATGATATTTGACCATTCTGTCTATAAAGATTATATATCTTTTCATTTACTTGGGTCCCTTTTAAAGACCTAAATGAGGTTTTGTATACTTTATCTGTTAAGGTCTTGAACTCCTGTATTTAAGATTTATTTTCCAGGTACCTTATCTTCATCATTATTGTAAATGCTGTGTTTCTTAAGTCATATACTAATGGTTGCAGAGAAATGCAATTTTATATTGTGGATTCACTTTATATCAACATGAATTCTTCATAATTTTAATAATTTGCCTCTAAATCTTTCAGATTTTCTACGTAAATATTCACATCCACGTAATGACAATCTCTGTAATAATGTCTTATTTTCACTTAATTTATTGCTTTGGTTAAGATTACAATATGAAGCTTAAAAGAGCCTGCTCTTGCAAGCATCATTACTTCTTATAAATGTTTGTAATGGCTTAGCAAGTGAGAGGTTAATTGTGAATTACTTTGGCAGTTGTATTTATCAGATAAAAAAAATTCTACTCCTAGTTTGCAATGAATAGTTATCATGAGTAAATACTAGGTTTTATTGAATGACTTTCCTACATTTATTATAATGATAACCTGTTTTTCCTCCTTTAACCCGTTTGTCAAGCATAATATTAACCAATTTCTAATTTGACTCAATCTTACATTCTGGATTTACCCTGGTAAACCTTTCTGTCCTATAGCATATTTTGCCTTATATAAATACAATTACAAGAATGCACATTCATGGACTATTTGCTAATAAATTTTCTTCATCCACGTGTTATCAACGTTTCTGTGTCCTCAAGTTTCTGGTAAAATGCATATAACTGAATTAAATCCCTCTGACAATCTCTGTCTCGGGCGATGTGTTTAGATCATGTTTATTATGAATGCTTATATATTTGAATCAGTTTTTACCTTTTGTATTTTCTGTAAATTGTTTTTACCCTAGGTCACTTTTTCTCCTTGTTGTCTTTTTTCACATGGATCGAAATTTTTCTTATTTCATTTTCTCCCTCTACTTGTGTGGAAGTGACATGTCGCCACGCTGGGATAAGTGTCCCCCAAGGACAATGAAGGCTTGGTCACCAGCCCATTGGGAGGTGTTGAAAGAGGTATGGCCTAGTGAAAGGAAGTTAGATCACAAGGGGTATGCCCTTGAGAGGGATACTGGGACCCTGGTTCATTTCTCTCTCCTCTCTCCTCTATTTCTGCTTCCTTGTCTCCATGAGGTGAGCAGCTTTGTTCTACCACATGCTTCTACCATGATGTGCTGCCACAGGCCCAAAGCAACGGGACCAGCCCATCATTGACTGAAACCTCCAAAGGAGTTGATTGACTCTAGGTATTTGTTGTAGTAGAAAGCTGACCAACAGAGATGTTCTGCTTCACTTTTCTTGATTTTTGAGGAACTTTGATGGAGAAAGTTCTTTGAGGCTTTGGTTAAAAGTTTTTTCTTCAAAGGATATCTGTGTTTACTTACTTAAGCCAAATGGCAGGAAGCACAACCAAATCATGATGACTTTGAACTTAATTTTCTGCTGGGGATCTTCTGGAACTCCTCATTAGCATAACGTCTCGCTCCAAACTCATATGAAGGCCAGATTGCAGGAAGAATCCTTAGGTGACAGCGTGTTTGGTTTTGGCTCCCATTGCTGGTTTTGTTTTGGTTGGGTTTACTGTTGCTTTCCTGCATCTAGAGCCAAGACTGATTATTCCTTTTGTGGAGCTGAGTGTGTGTGTACAGTCACTGTTGGTGCTGTGACTACCATCTCTTGTTCCCGCATTCCCTATTTGTTTGCTTGTTTATTCTTGTGTACCTCCGTCTCACATTCCCATTCCTTTTCCCTCCCCCAACATAGCCAACTATTCTCACATGTCTGATGTATTTTGTTGAAGAGTGTCCCCAAAAGTTCATGCATACCAGGAATCTGTGAAGGAGGGTAATAGTGCTTCAAAAAATATAATCAAGTTATGACTTGTGTTCATGCTGGATTAGGGTGGCCCCTAAATCCAGTGATTGGTGATGGCCTTGTAAGAGGAGAGAAATTTATATTCTGATGGAAACACACACAGAGAAGGAAGATGGAGGCAGAGATTGGAATGATGTGTTCTATAAACCAAGAAGAACCATGGATTAGCAGCAACCACCAGAAGCTAGAGGGGCATGGATCAGATTCTTCTTCAGAGACTCCAGAAGGTACCAACCATGTTCATATCTTGATCTTGGGCTTGGCCTCTAGAGCTGTGAGAGAATAAATTTCTCCTGTTTTAAGCCACTTGGTCTCTGGTGTTTCCTCTCAGTCCTAGGAAACTAATCCAAGGAAGATCTTTATGTCTTTGTGTTCCTGAAAAGGATGAATTCTTTTTAGTATATTTTTAATTTACATAAATGATATGGTGTCATGGATCACTTCAGTTCTCTTATGCTTTGGATCTTAAATGTCCCCCAAAATGTTCCCTGCTAACCGTGATGTTGGGAGGTGATAAAAAAAAATGAGGACGTGGAGCCTAGTTGGAGGAAGTACGTCATGGAATACGTACTTTTGCAGAGTTTGTTTTTGTTCCTGGCCCCATTCTTTCTTTCTCTTGCTCTTTTTTTGGCCCCCTCTCTCCTTTTATATTTCTCCTCCTCTCTTTCTGCTTCCCAGCTGCTATGAGGTGAGTAGCTCTGCCCTGCCACATGCTCCCCTCCATGATGTTCTGCCTCATCACCGGCCCATAGCAATGGAACCAAAGTGGCCGTGGACTGAAATATCTGAAACCCTGAGTCAAATTAAATCTTTCCTCTTTTAAATTGTTTTTCTCAGGTATTTTGTCACAGTGATAGAAAACTATTGAACACGGGCTCTTTCTCATTTCTGATTTTAGCTTCTTTGTGATAGCCCCACAGCATGCATCCATCTGGTAGTTGTGTACATTCACATACTTCCAACGCATCACCCGTGGTGGGCACACAGACGGCTTCTAGCTACCTGCACCATAAACAGTTGAGATTAGCATCTGTCCACAGCCAGATGCCTTGGGTATGGCAATTTTGTTGTAGTTGTAGCCAAAAGTGGGATTGCTATGTCTTAAGGATTGTGCATATATAATTGAAACAACCACTCCTAGATTCCTTTCCAAGATGACTATTTTTCTCACTCTTTGCAACCCATGAGGTTTCTCTATCTTTAAAGCCCCATCTACTCTTGTCATTATTTGGCTTTGTACATTTTGTCAACTTATAAAGAAATGTTGGGGCTGGGAGTATAGCTCAATGGTAGAGTACAAGCCCAGCACACTGGAAGCTCTGAATTCAATTCATGGCACTACCCACAAAATAAATTGTCACATTTACATTGGTTTTTCTATGGACGATATCACTGTATTCAACTGATCTTCATGTCTGTTTGCTTTTTGTATAAATTACCTTTTCATTCTTTGTCTATTTTTTTCTGTTGGGAGCCTATCTTATTCTTGTTGATTTGAAGAATTTGTTTGTATATTCCATTTTTTTTCAAAAATTTTTAACTCTTTTTTAATATTTTTTAGGTGTAGATGAACACAACATGATGCCTTTATTTTTTGTGATGCTGAGAATTGAACCCGGGTCTTGCCCGTACTAGGCCAGTGCTCTACCTCTGAGCCACAATCCCTGCCACTGTTTGTGTATTCTAGACCAGCAATTTAAAAAATTTGAGCATGGGAAGGTGTACCCTTTATATTCCTAAAAAAAATAATAATTTAGAACCCCAAAGAGCTTTTGCTTTCATTTGCTACACCCATCAACATTCATTATGTTAGAAAATAAAACCAGGAAATCTTAAAACGTTTGTAAACTCATTTAAAAATAACAATTTTAAACTTAGTATGTGTTGACATAAATAACATTTTAATGAAAATCACTATATTTTCTAAAATAATTTATTGAGAAGAGAAGCAATTTTTTTGTTTTCATTTTTCCAACACTTTTTCATGTCTGGTTTGATGAAAGACAGTTGGATTCTCACATTGGCATCTGCATGCTATTATATTGTTTTGACTGAAGTATAATAAAGATGTATAGAAGAGAAAGAAAGATTAATAACGCATTTTAATTTTAGGTACTCTTCTTTGCTACTATATCAAAACTCCAACAATAGTAGTTTCCTAAAGGGTCTTTACAATGTTGAATCCCAATGAGCTTTTTATATACTGTTCCATAAATTCACTGGTATATTTTGCATTTTGAATAGATCTTTTACCTATGCATGCTTTCAAGGCATCATTCATTAATCGTTTGGGAAATATTAGTCCACAGAGTTATGCAAATCTTCCAGACATTGACATGTTTCATTAAGTAGTATCAAAAAAAAAGTCACATTCAGTAATATCACTATCATTCTCATCAGAAAAGTTCTTAAGTATTGGGAAGCCATCAGGTTTACAAAGGTAAATAGGTTTTCCAAAAACTGTCATTCCACTAGAAAGCCAGAGTGCTATGATTGTCAACACGTACTGTCTGCAGTTGACAGCTTAGTCTATTTTTTTTTAAGTATAGAGGTATGAACCCAGGAGCACTCAACCACTGAGGCACATCCCCAGCCGTGTGTGTGTGTGTATGTATGTGTGTGTATTTGACTTGGAGATGGGGTCTCACTGAGTTGCCTAGCACCTCACTTTTGCTGAGGCTGGCTTTGAACACACAATCCTTCTGCCTCAGCCTCCCAAGCCACTGGGATTACAGGCGTGTGCCACCTCACCCAGTTCACCCTTTATTCTTGAGAAACCAAGGTGAGAGTTCTCAATTTGCATTCAACCTCACAAACTCTCCTAAAAGATTACCAAGTCGAGCAGCCGTGGCCAGAATGTAGCCAAGAGGCAGGCTGGAGCTCTGTCAGCTGCAGGAAGAGTGAAGCCTGATAGGCCCCTGGCTCAGTGGTAAAGAGCATGCTTTGCCTGTCCTGTGGCCATCTGCCTCAGACGCCAGAGAGAAAGTCCTGGGTGTCAGCTGAACAGGACACACCAAGTTGCTGACAGGACACATCGACACACCATGGAGCCATCTGAACAGGCCAGTCTCCAGCTGGTGAACTTAGCTCTGAGTCTCAATTGTCTTATCTATAAAACAAAGATAATAACAGCAAACTTCAGCCATGATGTGTTGAGCACTTGTTATCTTCCAGGCTCTAGATGCCAACAGCAAACCAGCCAGACAAGTCTCAGCCTGAAGAAGCTGATGTTTTGCTACTGAGAAGGGGCTGGGCCCTGTTGAGAGGAAGGGGATGGGAAATGAGAGAGGAAAAAGGCACAGGGGCCAGCTTTTTTTAATGGAAAAGTCTCAGGATATCACATGACCTATGTAGCTGGCTCCTACCTATCTGATTACTTTTCACCCCCCAGAATCTAAAATCCTAAATATCATTAAATGGCAATCACACTTACTGGATATCTGACAGTTCAATTAGCTCAAACCCAACCACAAAATATTAAAAATAGTTCCTTCCTGTCCCACCATGCTACTCCTGGAGTCAAGCATCCCACCCGATTCATAAAGTCCTCAACCTTCAAGGTAGAAGGGACAGATTTAAGATTTGAGGAACTTTCAACAAACACTCCCCCCCCCCAACACACACACAACTATTAAAGCTCTATTCTTTTAGCACTTTCTAGGAATGTTGGTCACCTAGGAGTGCATCATAAAATGCAAACAGCCCAGTAGGAAGTCACACCTAAAGGCATCAACAGTTTATCCTTGAGTTAACAATTAACTCTCTGGGGGAAACATACAATTTGTAATTACTACCCACTGTCTCACTCTCGTTTGTCCCAACAAACTGAGTTCATAAGGGGAAGCATCTTTCTGCATTAGATCATGCAGCCCATCAGCGAGAAAGTGGCTGGAGATGTCCATTCCCGACTTCCACACAGGCCCCGAGGGCCTCTAGTTCCTTTGGACATAATCAAAGACTTTCCAGGCAGCACCAAGTGTCCCCTGTCCAGAATGCCCCAGCTAGGCTGCAAATACCCTGCACAATGTCCCTGCCACTTTAGGGTTGTTCTAGCATCTGCCTCCAGTCCAGTCACTGACGAGTCTCAGTTTTACACACGGCCTCTGCCGTAGCTAGTGCCTCCATACCCAGCCCTCCACCCTGGGCTCCCTGATCCAGCTTCCCTTTGGGTTCTGCCTCTCAGTGTCCCCCCTACTTACCATGTTTGTGTCACACTTGGCCCCTGCCAGCTCTCTTCTGCACAGGCCCAACTTCAAATGTCTTTTTCTGCCCAGAAAAAGGACTTTGACAATAATTATGAATGCTACTCACATAGCTTTCAGGACATGCCCCAATTGAGTGGTAAGATAGATGAAAGAAAAGATGCAGAGAGACATCCAGAAAACAAGGAGACTGGGCATGGTGGTGCACACCAGTAATTCCAGCAACTCAGGAGGCTAAGGCAGGAGTACCACAAGTTCAAGACCAGCCTCAACAACTTAGCGAGGCCCAGCCTCCCAATAATATTTTTAAAAAGGGATGGGGATGTGGCTCAGTGGTTAAGTGCCCTTGGTTCAATCCCCAGTTTAAAAAAAAAGGAGTGATGAGTGATAGGAGCAGACCCTTAGCCAGGCTCTTTCTACAGAACAGCTTCTTTGGAAGCTTTTGGAACAAATATCACCTCCTCCTGCATCCTCCTCTCCTAGGAGTTCCTCACAGGCACTCTGGAGAGCCATGCAAGGGCCAGCTAAACTAGCAGGAGACACAGGAATCACCTTGAAGGTCAGGCCTCCAGTTCTCACCAGTCACTGGAGAATTCCAGGGTCCAGACATGTCACTCAACATCCCAGTAATTGCCTAACTATGATTCTTTAGTTTTGTATTATCAACTGGAATGGTCATTTACATGCAATACATGGAAGTATATATTAATATGTTTATGAGCATGAACTAATTCCATTGTTAAGATGAACTAGCCTTTTCCATCTTAGCCATGAGTCTGGCCCTTTACAAGCATTCATCTTTGGTGAAAGTTGGTGCTTTTCAAGAGGCATCTTGACAGAGCCCTGCAGTCTCAAGTAGAAACTTCTTTTTTTTATAAGTAATTATATTTAAATTTAGTCATGGAACCTCAACACTGGAATTCAACCCAAATATCTCATTAATAAATCTCTTCAATGAATGTCCATCTTCTACTAGCCTGAGGTCCATGAATGGAGATATACAATGATTTCAGGAAAATTCCCAGGCATAGTCACTTACCTGCAGTGCTTTGAGGAGTGTCCCTTGCTCTTCTCACTTGACCAGTCCCATCTGCTCCACATCTTGGCCCCTCACCACAATTCTAAACCAAAGCTTGAGCTGGCTCTTCATGACTCTCCAGTCCTGTGTGTTAACCAATTTTGTCTTGTTACAAAAATTTGCACCTATAGAGCCCATTTTTCTTCTCATACCCTTTAGGTATCAGGGGAATATTCTCCAGATATTCATATATTCTTGGGGAAGAGAATGGTTTATCACATAAGGATGTCACTTAAACAGTTCAAACAAAGGTACATGATCCCTTATCTGAGAGGTCACCATAGGTAGAAGGAGTGCTGCTAGCTGCCTTAGCACCCTGTCCCACACTCTGAGTGGGATAGAGCCCAGCCCCCACTCCATGAATCTGATCAGTTGAAACCAAGATTCACAAATGGGCATAACCTCACCTCCTCAGTGTAATACTTAGGTCAGAAATGGGTCCATGACCTGAGTTTACCCAGTCACAGTGAAGTCTAGAATTTAGGTTCTGTGGTTGGGGGAAAGAAATCACCTTTCTCTCCTGCTGGACATGAAGGAGAAGGGCAAAGCAAACATCCTCCCCCACTTGTTCCTGGAAGCCATTTTAGGACTATATGGGGAGTCAGCCTGAGGATGTAGCAGGGGCCCTGGAAGTAGAGAAGAGAATGAATATCCAGTCCTTGGTGCCATGCTGAGCTACTGGTTTTTTCTTTGCTAGGTGTCAACCTACCTCTAGACTTTTCAATGATCTGCAAACTCTTGTTAGCTTTTAAGCTAGTTTGACCTGGATTCTCTGCAGCTGACAGCCCAACTGATACAGAAAGAACTCATGAATCCAGAAGGGCTCCCGGATGGTCCTGGGTAAGATCCAAGAAACCATAAATCCTGACACTCAAAACACTCCTTTCTAGGGAGATGCGGCACCAAAGGTAAATATACCCGAGCCCTAAAAAGCCCCTGAAGTTCTGGAGAATTCCGCATTGCTCTCCCTACTAACAGCCCTTCCTGTGTGGACATTAATGGCAACGGGAGCTTCCCAAATTGTTGCTACTTAAACAGAACCACTTTGCTCATCTTTTCAGATGCCATGTATTTCTCTCAGGTTCACCTTCTGGAGAGGGATGCCACAACAGCTTGGTGGTATAAATGTGCAAGTCCTCTCCCGCTTCCTCCTCCCAACCTCCCTGACCCCACCTCTGTCTCCCCCCAGTCCCCGGCCCCCCTCCCGTGGACCAATCACCAAGGGTTAAATGCTAGAGAAGTGGCTTTTAAGAACAGCTGGAAAAAACTGCTGCCCCAGGCTGACAGCAACTAATAAAAGGTCAGGAGGTTGAGGGAATTATTTTCCCTGGGAATAATTTTCTAAGGGAAATGGTAAAGTTGCTTAAGTCACCAGGTGGGACACATAAAGGACAATTTTTCCTGGCTCTCAAGAAATGGATGATATTTGAGCTCACTGATTTTGCCTGCCTGATTTACACAATGAAGTCCAAACTTTGTTAACACTAAATGAATTTTATGTCTAAAACACACACACACACACACACACACACACACACACACACACCATATCCCTTTGGCCCAGTAATTCCACTCTTGGGAATGCAGCCCAGAGAAATATATTCAACAGAAGAGATAAATTCTATGTACAAAGATATATGTTGCAACATTATTTATGATTTTAAAAATAGCTCAGCAAAAAGGGGATCGGTTAGTAAATTATTACACATCCGTGTGAGAGAATATTAGGGGTCATTAAAATTGCAGAGTAACAACACAGAAAAATGTCAACTTTAAAAAGCAGACATAAAGCAACGTGCGCAGGTGATTGTGATGAGGTTACTGTGTACCTTTGGTAAATAAAGATTGGAGAGTGTAGCAAGAATGGAAAGTGTTAAACTGAGCTAGAAGAATCATGAGAGATCCTCTTGCTTTCCTCCATTTCGTGTATTGTTGATTTTTTTTTATCTGGTTAAAAGATGTAATCTTGTTCGGAAAATGAAAATGTTCATAAATTGTGGTGAGGCATGCACACTTCTAAGAATGTCCAAAAAAATTGAATTGTATACTTTTCATGGGTGAATTATATGGTAAGTGAATTCTATCTCAATAAAGCTGTTATAAAACATGTAATTTTATTTTGAAAAATATGAGCCACTTTCAATGAAGAGAGAAAAAGACCTTTGTTTCCAACTTAAGGAACAGTGCTATTCAACAGCTGGATCATACAGGCTTTTGGATAAATTCTGAGCACAATTTGTTAAGTTGGTGGCAAATACCACCTAGGGCTCTGTTTTAACTAGAGTACACCCAGTGTACTTAAGGGGATAGGAACCTTCCTGGTCCTTGAGATAAGATAGATATTAATGGGGAAAAATATTCTAAAATTAAACAACTCAAACCATCTGTTGCTCTGGGCAGCTGACTTACCCAGTCCGAGCCTCTGTTTTTCCCTCCCTACATTGGAGGTAATCCCACCTGCCTTACCAGATTGCTATGACAATTTAAATGCAACATGCATGAAAGCCTATGAGACAAAGATTCTCAGCAGCTGTTGAATTTTTGTGGAAAACTAGAGATGCAACTGAACAAAGATTTAAAGTTACTTTGACCTGTGTTCAGGGTAGAAACTCCCCCAGAGGATTCCAAGTGGTTCTCCTTCCTCTGAGGAGCCTGGGGATAGTGGGCATGCTTGTGTCCCTTGCAGTTGAGTCTGTCTGAACTACCGGAGAAGAAGATAAGAGTGTCTTTTGGGGCTGGGGATGTGGCTCAAGCAGTAGCGCGCTCGCCTGGCATGCGTACGGCCCGGGTTCGATCCTCAGCACCACATACCAACAAAGATGTTGTGTCCGCTGAGAACTAAAAAATAAATATTAAGAATTCTCTCTCTCACTCTCTCTCTCTTTTTTTTTTTTTTTATAAAGAGTGTCTTTTAAAAACTGACTCCCAGTCACTGGTCACTTGTCCCAACTATCAGACCCAACAGCAACCATATTTGTCCATATGGCAAATTCCAAGTCATCTGATCTTGGAAAAGAGAGAAGAAAAAAAAAAAGTTCGCCCCAGGGCTCCTAAAACAGCTTCTGTCTAACAAAATCCACAAAACCAATTTCCTACAGCCCCATAAACTCCAGTTGGAGACTTTTGGTCATGATGAAACTGACTTCCATCACATGTGAAAATCCTGCAGCGTAATGACAATGACCATGGCTTTGGAATCAGAAAGACCTGGGGTCAAATATGGTCTCTCTAATATGGTCTCCAGCCCCTCAGACCCTTCAGTCAAATTCCTTACTCTACCTAAAACATGGTTCCCTCCACTAGAAAATGGGGTTTGCGAGACCCAACTAATATTGTAGAGAGGATTAAGTGAGAAAAATATAAATGTTTGCAAGCATATGGTGGTTACCCAGTAAATGTAATATAATACCTTTTTCCTCGTTATGCTTTAATGGACAGATATCACTTCAGCTAAGACAGACTCCTGCGTCCTCTCCTCTCCTCCTACTCTCCACCCTCCGCTTTCTTCTTTTTCCCAAACCAACGAGCCCCAGAACATAAGCCCCCAAATATCAGTCAGCACCAGCTCAGCCTACAGCATGTGGCCCTGTGCACACTCCCTATGATCTCACGCAGTTGGACTGTTATTTTTACAGACTGGTATTAAGAAGCATAAGCCAGGAATCTTTTCTATATTGTCACGCCGGGTATTCTCAGGCCTGCAGTGCAGATGGAGTGTTCCTAGAATTTTATGGTACAACACATGAGTATCTAGGCTCTTCTGCAGACTCCAGGCTGTCCAAGAGCCTAGTGGAAAGCCTGGTATCAGAAGGCCCCTACTCCTTCCTGTGCTTTCTCCTCCTGATGTGCCAAACTGAGCACTCCCCGCTGCGGTCAATACTCTGAGATAGAGCCGATCACCAGGGGAACGGCAACACATTGCAAGAGTCATGGGTTGGACCACACACAACCCACCAGACTGGGCTGCTTGTTCCTGACAAACGTCCTGTTCTGCCATGTGCAGGAACAATACCCAGGCAGCGGGTAGCGCTGGGGAGGGCGAGTGCTCCTGTGTCCCAACCTGCGAAGGAAAAAGAATTTCACAGCTGTTGGACGTGTGCTAGAATTGTGGTTAGTCACCTGTGTAAATTATGAAGAATAAGTCATGCTTTTTTTTGTTCTGTGATTGTGTAAATAAAATTTTTAAGTTTTTTTTTCCCCCTAAAGAAAAAAAAAAGACCAGGAAAGAAAGGAAAAGGAGCCCTTGTGGTAAAACACAAGAGAAGGCGGACACTTGGGTAGACCACTCTGTCCCCACTGCCCACTGCCATTTTCTCTTCTCTAACTCCTTGCTGTTTTCTTCACTTATTGCACACTTTCCTGACTCCAGGTCACTCCATAATTTGCTGTCATGGGCTGTGGCTTCTTTCTGCAATCATTTGCAAACAATGTCAGCCTGGACGTCTTTCCTCTATCCCCTAGCAACGCTTTCCACATGCCCCATCTTGTCGCCCCTTTCTTTCTTTGCCTCACCCTTCTCCCGACTCCACCATCCCTAAAAGAGAAGGGACAGGACTGCCAGCAAGTGCTGTGCCCCCGCACACTGAAAGCAGGTTTGAGGCCAGGACCTGCAAACAGGCTAGCCCTCTCCAAATATTGTGGGGATACCATGTGCATGCCAGGAATGCCCCCCACCAGGCAGACACCAAACAGCACTCGCAAATGCCTCTCCTCTCTGGCGCTTTCTCTAACTCAGACCACACAGCAGAGTAACTTCAAAAAAAAAAAAAAAAAAAATTTCAAGGTCTTGTTCCCATCCTGGGAGTCGGAGGCCTCAGAGTTCCTCAAAGAGAAGAAGAATGTTCACAACTCCTTTCAGCATTTAAAAAATGCTAATAAAAGCCATGCATGGGCCCATGGGGGACTGCCCAGGCTGGCTTAATTGTCACATTTCTCTGCTCTGGCTCTGCACAGTATTGACACAATCTGGTGGAACTGGCAAACTCATGAAGAACAGAGCCCTGAAAAGGACAAATATATTATTTCTTAAAATAAAAATTGGAAAAAAAATATTAATGATTTCTTAACAAACTAGCATGTCAAGC